AATAATACACAAATTCACTTTTAATATATTTTCAAACGTAGACTCCATAAGCAGTCTTCGTAAATGTCGACATTCGTTACAGTTTACACATGTAGACTTCGTATGTAGTCTTCTCTTTAGGTTAGTTTTTGCAATTGAAAATTTTACGGGTTACTTTCTTTATTTAAAAAAAAATTGTGATTTTATACATGTAGACTCTCATTTCAGTCAACATATCAAAAATGTTGTTTTTCAATTGACCAAAAATCACCTAAGATTTGACTTACGGAAGTAGACTTTAGAAGCATTCTACATGTTTGAATTTTTTTGACAGAGATTAGTTTTGCAATTGACCAAGTTTGACTTTCTATTAGTAAACATAAACAAATGTCTACATACCTGTTGACTTGATACAAAGTCTACCCACAAATACGGGGGGTTAGTTTTGTATTTGACCAAAATAAAATAGTAGACTTCATGTGATGTCTATCATTTTTTTAATTAGTATACTGTAATTAAAGTCTACACTTTTTTTCTTTCTTTTTGGTCAACTTTTTAACATTTTAGTCAAATATAAAACTAACCTATTCAACGGAGTCAAAATTTGGGTCAAATACAAAATAGACTTTTTGTAGACTTCTTGGGAAGTCTACAGTCTGTAGATTTCTGACGAAGTCTACATTGAAAAGTCAAATGTTTGATCAAATGCAAAATAACATATTTTACGTAGTTGTTATCAAAGGTAATGACATAGACTTCCAGGGAAGTCTAATTTGCATAAACAATTATTATGGTCAATTGCAAAACTAACTTGTGTGTTGACAAGTAGACTGCATCGTAAGCATATACGTATGCGTAGACATATGATACAGTCTATTATCACGACACATATTTGAAAAAGGATGAAAACCATGTAAATAGGTATCCTTTTCCGGTGTAAAGCTCGCTTCCACCATTTTCCACTGTCCAAGCTCCAAATATGAAGAAAAAGAAGCAGCTTAGACGACCAACAATAGAGTACACTCGAAATAATGAAGCTATGCTTATGAAAATAAAAGCTATGAGAGTTTTTTAGATGAAAATAGAGAGGAAATTAGAGGAAGTGAAGATTTGTTGGTTTAGAATGAGAAAAAAAATGGTTGAAAATTGAATTTGAGAGGTTTAAAGAGCTAAAAATGGTGGTTCATGGTGGTTGAAAATTGATGACGATAGCATTGTTGTAAATAAGAAGAAAAATTTATGGTGTAATTGGTTTTTTGTCATTTTCGAAATAACTAAAAAAACAAATAATAATGGCAATTCTGTAAATATTTCAAAAACATAAGGATGGTTTGGAAATTTCATGGATGAATAGTAATGAAAAAAGGGGATTGATTTTGCATTTGACTAAAATTTGTGGATTGTTTTTGTAAAAACATTAGTGTTGTTTATATAATTTTATTAATAAATATGTTACACGGATTGAGAAACAACTAAACAAATTAAAGAAGTATTAAATGGTATCAAAGAGTATTAGATTTTGTTCACTGACTATTAATTCTCAATAAATAATATTTATCTAATTACTCAATATATTTATAAATACTAATAATTTCTTTTCTATAATATGTCTCGTTAGTTTGGATGCCCTAATCGGTAGCTTCCCTTATAGGTTGGCCCTGCATATGATCTATATAGTTCATCACCTTAATAGAAATATTAATTTTCGGAAGAGAAAAAGCAGAAATATTTGAACAGTAACCTTGAATCACCTAATACATCCATATGAAACATTGAAACCACTATTAATAAATCACCATTGTATATAACAATCATATCTATTATATTAAAATAGAAATTTTGATTTTTTTTATGTGATACTTTATTTAGATCTTCCCTTACAAATTTATAAATATAATTTCTTAAGACTAATAATATAAAATTTATGCAACTACTGTAATCATAATATTTTTTGATATCTTTCATTTTTTAAATTCTAACAAATTTGTTGAAATTACTTTTTAACAAGATCTCAATTTTAAAAGTTTTCTATAAATATTTGCATTAATTTCCTAATTAATAATCAAATATGATTATACCTTGATATATATTTAATTCTTTTTTATCAATAATATATAAATATTTTATCATATTATTATTAATTTTATGATCATAATCTATCATATTAAAATAATTATTATGGAACTGAATATGATAAAATTATATCAAAATGATATATTAATATATTTTATTTTTATAAATATAGATATTTATGTTAAAATAATATAATATATTATCAAAAAGGATTAACATATACACTGCATATGATCTATATAGTTCATCACCTTAACAGAAATATTAATTTTCGGAAGAGAAAAAACAGAAATATGAGAAAATTTATCAAAAATAATATATTATCTAAAAGTACATACCAATAATGATGTAAACAAATATATATATATATATATAATGAAATTAAACACCAGCTTTTGAGCGGATCAAAATCTAGTTAAGTTGTTAAAACAATGTCGCTTAACATGTATGATTAATGATAACTTATCATTGATAAGGCGTATATTGGAATCCTCTATATATTAAAAGAGAATCACTAAAAAATTGGAACCTTAACTTTTAATAATTAAAAATCACCACTATCCTATGTGGCATAGCTCTTTGTCTTCTATTTCAGTTTAGAAGGATTCTAGAGCATGTAATATAATGTATAGTCTAAAATTTATACTCTCTAGCAATATAATATTTCATAAGCTATAGTTGGTCGTATATATCAAATATTTATTGTTTCGCATGCTTTCCTTAAATAAAACCTACGGAAATACCTAATGTGATTAATATATATATATATATATGACAATTTAATGATTTTAAACAATAAATATTTGATAACAATGTGTATACTTTTTCTCATTTTGTTTATTTGTTTATTATTAAAATAAATTATACAATTACATTAATCATATAATAAAAATCTAGATTTTTTTGTGTATGCTGTATTTTGAATTTTTCAAAATGAGTATAAATTACTAAAACTGTTAAAAGTCTCACATAAGCTTTTAGGATCAAGGTTTAAATTTGTTTTCTATATTAAAATATAATGATTATAAGACCATTTGAAAAAAATAATTTTAGTTTATATATATTTCATATCGTTTTGATTAAACTATACATTGTATGAAAATACATACTTATATTTTGATATTTGCATTGAACATATATTGAAAAGTTAATATTTGAATTTTAAAAAATGTCATTGTTTTTTCTGAAAAATAATTATAAATTATTGAAATTACTACACATCTCACATTAAAAAAAATCGTTGGTGTAAAGTTTTGTTACACAAATATGCAAATAATCATAAAATCATATGAGTAGAAACCTCATTTAATAACTATCCATATTAAAAGTGTGCTATATTACTATGTTTATATCATTTAAATTTAATTATATATCATATACAATATGTAAGATTGATTATTTTGATTTATTTACTCTAAATGCGAATAAACAAGAGTGATAGTTAAATTTATATGCATACGCCAATTTATTACATAATAGTAATTGATTTCTTAGTTATTTAATAAATATATTTATTATTTTATTATTTTATAATATGCAGAAAATATAAAATAAATAATAAATATAAAATACTTATTGTGCATAAAGTGCAGATCTTAACCTAAGTATGTATATCGTTAATTATTTTAAATCTTAAGTATTTTCCAAATCTCAGGTCAAAACAAACAAACGAAATGAGAATAAACTTCAAAATAAATATTTATATTGAGTAATAACCAAAATAAAATAAAAAACACAACAAGAGAAAAATTTAAATATAAATAGGATTGACACGTGAACCTAAACTTCTCATAACCATGATTAATTTTAAAATTTTAAAATTATGATATAAAACCTAGTTAATTTTTAATTTGTTAATTTTCAATTTTTTTCTTTTTTTAAATCATTATAGTTATGTTAAATCATGACCATAATTAATTTAAATTGTTTGTTTGTATTTAAAAAAACTTAAAATATTGTTTTTAAAAATAATTTAAAATTTAACTTAATTTTTATAAAATTATTTAAAAAAAAAATAATTTGTAAAAAATAGCATTTTCTAATATTATTAGACAAATAAATAAGTTATATTAAATTAGTTTTGAAACTTTATATATTTTAAATGCAAATATTTTATGAACTGTTTCTTAAGAAAGTATTAGGGAACTTGTTAATACTATACCAATCAAGCCCAGTGACACTCCGTTTATTTTCCATCAGTTGAACAGTGAAAAGTGAAAAGATAAATGAAATCGGGTTCATTAAATTCTAAGTTTTGATCTACAGTTCTAATTACAATTGTTTATGATCCTACTTATAAATAATTATATAAAAATTCTAAAATTTCATATACATATAAAAAAAATCATATGTAAATTTTAAATTTGTCAATACTAAAATTTTATATTTTAATTACATACATTCATCTTGTGCAACACACATATCTTAGTGAGTTTGTTATTCGAGCTATTGAGCAGAAACCAAGAGAGCCGTTTTCATCTTTCAAGCGGATCCGAGCTGGTTCGTCGTTGGTCATCGATTGGTAATCTTCTTAAGTGGTGAATACAACTTATAATCCACTCTCATCGCTCGTGTATAAGGTGTTCAATTTGCTGAATTTATAGGCGGACGTTCTTGGCAAATTATCTAATGAAAATTGAACGTCATATTAACAATTAGACCAAATATTAAATTCAGTGACCAATGCTGTACGTGTGATTGGTTCGACCCGATATCTCGACCCAAGATTGATTTGTTTCACAGCTACTTGTCTTTTCCCTTTTATTGTATTCTTTTCCATTTTTGGTATTACCGAGGAGAATAATCAGAATGAGTTCAGAATGTATGTACTATCATCGTAAACGAAAAACGATTTTTTTTGACTTTTTGATAATTAACTGACGATGGATTTACATATGACAAAAACTTTTTCTTGGCATTACTTTAATAAACACAAGTAGACTTAAGCATCAGTAGTGGTAAGCTCTTGAAATCTTCAGTCTTCTCACGGTAGATAAAAACATTCTACAAAACAAAACCCCAAATATTTAGTTTCTACTGAACATTCTAAATAAGGAAACAATACTGTCAATGGAGGAACAAGAATACGTACTCCCACGGAACATCCCCAACCATCATCCAGTCACCTTCCTTGTCCGCGTATGTTAGTACATGACTCTTCTGGCCGCACATCTCTTCTTCTTCAGCCCCTGTTTCCATTTTATGTTTGAGTTACCATCAGTTTTCATCATAAACTTTAACCTATGAGATAATAACTTTGGTAAACAAACAAAAACCCTATGAAATAGTAATTGGCGCAATCATTTTAGTTCTGTCAGTTTATCATTCTATTATTAATGGGGAAACGATTTCAAAACGGCTTAAAATAAAAAGAAGAGCTAGTGAATAATTAAAAGAACTTTAGATATATCAACATCTTTATATCTATATCTATATATATATATATATATTTATTTATTTTATACATAAACTTACAGAGAATGGATGCGTTGAACATGAAATCTAGGGTTCTGATCAAGTCATGGTAGCCATTAAGAGACATGAGATCGATCTTTCTCCCAATTGGAACTCCCTCCATGTTCACTTTCACGTAGAAGCTCCCAACGCTGTTACACTCGTTCTCTTCTTCCTCCTCCTCAGCCACCGCAACCGCATACTCTGCCGCTGGAGCTACAACAGAATACCCGTAACCACCGTTGAAATACTGCGTCCCTGAGGATGCCCCAAAGCTGAGTCCGAGCCTTAGATCGGTGCTTAGGTTTCGAGTACTTGAAGAGCCACCGTACGGGTTGCTCTTACTGGTACTCTCTATAGACGAAGACGACGAAGAACTTTTTCCTCTTCCCATATCTATATCTTTCAATCTTTTTTTTTGTTTTTATTTTCTTTTTTAGGTTGAGACAAATGAGTAATGAGCCGCCATGCTTGGTATGTACGTGTCTGTTTATATAGAAGATCAAGACTAGGAATTCTATTTATTTTATTACTGATTGGCGTGGTCTTCGTATTTTGTTTTTAAAAAAATAATACACAGTCACAAGTACAAATGCGACAGTGGAATGATGAGACAGCGTCCGCTAAAGATGTTGTTAGTGTAGCAGACATAAACACGTGTCAAATGTTGATTCGGTCGATGTACTGGTTATGATTTTGTGGGTTCAGGGTTCTCTCTAAAACTAAAATATATGTCTAACGTAAACAATTGACGAACAAGTTTTTTTTTTTTTGAGAAAGAATTGACGAACAAGTTAGTAGAAACAAAAGTTATGTATCAAGAGGACAGTTTCCAATTTAATATTCAGATTAGTTGTATCGTTAGTTATTCTAGTAACTGTTTATTAGGTTGATATGACGAGTAAGAATGTTCTTAGTATATATATTTTTCGACTCTATATTTTATATTTAGGACACATGCACTGAGAATTTTTCAAAATGTATCTTTCACAAATTATATTAATAATTCATCAAAGTATTTTTTAAATAAAGTTGAGAATATGTGCGAGTCTTTTTTTTTTTTTTTTTGCAAATGTTTTATTATTCTGCCAACTTGGTTACAACAATATGTGCGAGTCTTTCATTTGAGAAATTCTCACATAAGTTTTCCATGTATTGAAAAAAGCTTATCAATTAAAGGATTTTTAATAAAGTTTCATATAAGTTTCAGTTAATATGATTTTTTGGAGATTTCTTTTGAGAATTTCCAATGTGGATGATCTTATCATTTACGACTTATTAGTTCAAAACAGAATCATAAATAATTTTATTTGTTTTGTATTTAACGGTTGACTACAGATTTTTCGCGGTATAATACCAAACATAAAATCATAAAATTTTCGTAAATAACATTCTATTAAACATAATCAGTCTTAACGGACCGTTGCAAATGGTGAACCCGATCAAAACATGGTCATTATAATGATGTAAATCCTACGTAACATCTTAGTAAGGAGAGAAGTTGTTACACGTAATCATAAATAAGTAAGTAAAAAGAATTCAAAGTTCGAAGGAAAAGGCGAAGGAAGAAGAGAGGGGGCATGATGAGTAATGAATGGTTCACCTTAAAGGGAGGACCTAATGAGAGTTCCTTTGTCTATGGGACTTAAGGAGACGTCACAATTCTCATATTTGCAAGCACGAGAAAAAGGAGACATACATACGACACGACGACCAACGACTACATTTGTCATTTCCCACGTGGCACTTTTGTTTTCACGTGGACTCTCTTAAACACAACATGTCAGCATGTACATCGTATTGAAACTTGAAAGTAACTCAGTGTAATGAATCAAATTATGTAAGAAAAACATGCAAGTAGAGATGCGAGTGTGGTTTAGATCGGTTCAGTCAAATGTGTACGTCTGCGACAGGTTCTACTATGGGTGGTATAATATTAAACGTACTTCACTACAAAAACAAAGATACTTATACGTATTTTATAGATTACTCTTGAGTTTTTGTTCAGGATTCTTAGCTCAGTGTAGTCTGATTATAGTTTTTTTGGGTTTGTTCGACAAATGAAAAAGTTTTCAATTTGTTGGTGTCATAGTAGCTATGGATTTAAATGAGATTATTGGATAGAAGATTTGGTAGAGATTTTCAAAATGGTACAAGTAACACCAACAAGTATGGATCTTATATATATAGAACGGTTAAAAATACATAAATTTTTTTATAATATTTCTCATAGTTTATAATAACATATTTATTAGTGTTAAAAATAGCCAATGTGACTAAACGACAATCATATTTAATTATACTTTGAGCAAGATCGATTTCAACAAAAAATAACTAAATGGCTATTATAAAATATTATCTAAAGCTACACACATATTATTTCTGATTTTATATATAATTAGATCTACAACTTGGTCTTTGTATATTCAGTTTTATATGTTTTTTTTTTTGATAAAACCTTTGCATGAAAATAATACATTGATTTATTTACTTAGCACTTTGTGTTTTTAATTTAGATGTATTTCTATCAAACCCCAGTTAGCCTTGGTCTGGCTTGAACCATGTAAACAAAATTGAGACTCATACGCACACCACAACTAGAGCCGAAACTTATACTCGGCTTGGTTACTCTCAATTTGTTTGAGTTTTAGTCTTTGTAGTCAATTAACTTGAAGAAGAATATGGACTTTAGTTGGAACCAATTGAGATTTGGAGAATATTACAAAGGAGAGATGTTCCCTAACAACACTACATACTGCCTCCGCCTCCTCTCTGTCCCCTCCGTTTTTCTCTATTCTCCTTACCAAAATAGTCCCCCTCGATTTTTTCTAGCATACATAGAAGTATATATATATACAGTATTCGACAAAAGCATGCCTACTATAAATTCGGTAATTATTATATAAGTAGAAACGCATTTTATTGGAAACATACATACATAGTTCAAGTACTTTAATCATATATTTCTTTATTTATGCACTAATTTTGAGAACCTAACTTTACTGCGTTGTGGTTGCTTGTCAGTCAAAACTAGGGCTTGCTTTTCAAGATGCGTGATTGCATTTGCATGTCTCGTGGCTTTTATTTTCTAACCCCTCTTGTTGGACTAATCATAGCCTTTTGTTTTTCCCTTTGCTTTAAGATTACTGAAACAGTAGAACTTTTTCACTGAATATATTACATGTATTTTCCATTGAATTTTGAAATTGTCATTCAATTACTTTTCCTTACCAAGTGAGTTTAAACAAACCTATTAGTTACAAAATACGTTAGCAGGAATATACAACTCCCTAAATCATGCTTAACAAATGTATCAAAATTAAATTTTGTTCGAGTCAAACATTTTTGTACTATTTTAAGAGAAACCAGCTATTAAGAAACAAAAATATTGAAAACGAAGTCCAATTGGCAGGGAAATACTGACATGTCTTCCTTACCGAGTCAGATAAGGATGTATTAGTGTATTTTTTTTTTTTTTTTTTTACAACAAAAGGCTGATCTATTATTCAAGCTTGAGGTGGTCTACGAATCCAGATCGGAATAGAACAACCAACATACATCAGATCACGATAAAACGATCAAGCAGTCTTAACTAAAGAATCAGATATAGCATTCTGGGACCTAGGAACATAGAATATCTTAAAGTCTGGGAAGCAGATCCGCAATGTCAAGAACCTATCCAATTCTGTCGAGAAGCTTGGCCAATCAAGGGGGTTGCTGAGCACCGCAATCAAATTCTTGTAATCCGTCCCAAAGTCAGCCACATCCAAAATACTGATCTGTAGAGGTTCAAGAACCATCTATCATCTACCGAGAACCATCCTTAATGCGTTTATAAATAAATGAAACTATGAAGTTTTTTTTTAAAATACGTGCATGCGTGCGGTGCGGATATAGAGTCGAGATGTTACGTGCGTGTCTTTTTATAGATACTATATAATATTCATCAAAATCCTTGGATTACGCACGCAATTCATAAATTGTAATATATAGATTTACCAAATCTTGAAATGATTTAGAGTTTCTTACAAAGCAAACCTTCGTTAGAATCATGAATCTGAATTTAATTGACTTTTACAAACCAACCTTCCTTAGAAAGGGTTTTATCATGGGCTAAAGGCAAGCAGGCTCGACTCAACTCTAGTTTGGGCTATATATATGTGCTGAGTTCTTTTTTTTTTTTTTTTTTTTTNCCAACCTTCCTTAGAAAGGGTTTTATCATGGGCTAAAGGCAAGCAGGCTCGACTCAACTCTAGTTTGGGCTATATATATGTGCTGAGTTCTTTTTTTTTTTTTTTTTTTTTAGTTCTTTTCTTTTCTTGCAAAACCTTACTGATATATGTTATAGATTTTTTTAATAATATAATGGTTGTAAATCATAAGAAAATCTGAATAAGTAGAGAGAGTTTTTGCTATGTTGGGGTAACGCGCGCAGAACAAGTATATAAGATTTGTTGTATAATGTTCACCGAAAATAAATGGTTTTTGAACTCCAAATGTGGATGTGGTGTGTGTATATACGTAGTGTTCCATATGGACATAGCAGAATAATTAAAAAAAAAAATTAAGGCCACTCACAGGGTATTTGGACGGATCTTCTTAACGCTATAAACGGGAAGTTTAAACTTTAACGTATGCGACGACCGTCTCCGTTTGTAGGAATTCAAAATATCTGAGGGCGGCAAAACTCTGGAAACGAAAAGCAGATGAGGACACGTGTTTCCGCCTCAATCGTACGGTGATGGTATCTCTATAATATTATTTGAGAAGACGTTAACTCTCACGCTGGTTGATCACTATGATACCCCTAATGAATTAAAAATACAATTAAATATTATTTCCTTTTTAAAAATTTCCAAATAACAATCTCTATAATATTATTTGAGAAGTCACTTTCTTATATGTCGCGTTCACGTTAACTCTCACGATGGTTGATTACTATGATACCCCTAATGAATTAAAAAATATATTTAAATATTATTATTTTCTTATAATTTTTTTCCAAATAATAATATAAAATAAAAAGGAAACATGTATAAAGTTTACAAAACTATTTAAAAACGAAAATATAAGTATATAAATATGGTTTCATAAAAATGGAAAGTTCACAAAATAGTAATATTTAATTCAAATATATTTTAAATAACATAAAATATAATTTTGAAGTAATAAAATACTTTCCTTAAATCTATATCTTCTTAGATAAAAAAGTATTTGTAGATAATGTGATTTCATAAAAAAAATTTCACACATAATCTTCATGATATTAGAAAAAGAAATATTTTTTATTTACAAAATAATTATAAACAATAAAATATATATCTTTTCAAAGTAATAAAATTTGTTTTTATATATCTATCTATTTTCTTAGTTACATAAAATATTTAAGTAACATAAACTGATATATGTGTAATTAACAGAAAATAATAATTATAATTAATATTAT